CCCAAGCAAAACATCGGCAAACAACAAATAAACAACATTTAATAAAAAAAATATTGTTAGAAAGTACAAATTTTATAGTTACGAAACGAAACATTTACCCACTTTTATATAATGATACATTTTGTAAAAAAAAAAAAAAATTCCCCAGATTTCTAAATTTGATCCCAAGGCGTAAAAAAAACTAAGATCTGGGGGTAAAAAACCATCATTGGCAGCCCTGTGCATGACCTGAACTTCGAGGAGAACTGGCTTGTAAATAACATGCTGTCCCAAAGGCTGAGGTATTGAGGACATGTCAAGCACCATCATTTGAGAGAACGGTGATCGAGGGTTCAATTCCCGGAAAACGATTCAGAGGCCGACCTCCACGAGTGTGGATACAGGACACTGAAGATGCAGTGGTTATGAAAGCACATAGGGCTGAGTATTTGGCAAGAGGAAGAGAGACTTTCAGGGGTGCCGTGAAGAGAACGCCGCTCTGTAAAGGTCTTGCGGACTTATTATGATGCTGAGGAAATTTCTTGGGAGGTACAGGCGGTCGGCATGTTACTGGCAATATGCATCACTGACGCGAATTCACCCGTGTGTCTCGGAGTCTCATTTTGGAGGCAGGGGTTGATTTACTTTACTCCCTAAAACAATGAATAAATCAAGTAACAGAAAGTGTATTGATCGGCACTCATAGAAAGATGTAGAACACACTAGACAACATAAAAATCGAAAGCTATAGTTACCTTGCCGGGAATTGAACCTGTCACCTCCAGACGGCGTGTGCGCCTCGCCATGGATACAAGTGCTCTAAGAACATGGTCAACTAGGCATCCCTAAAACAAATATTTCGTAGTATGCGACTAATTATGGGTAGTTCTCCAAAGCAGAAGACGAAGAAGAAGAAGAAGATGAAGAAGAAGAAGAAGAAGAAGAAGAAGAAGAAGAAGAAGAAGAAGAAGAAGAAGAAGAAGAAGAAGAAGAAGAAGAAGAAGAAGAAGAAGACGATGAAGAAGAAGACGAAGAAGAAGAAGAAGAAGAAGAAGAAGAAGAAGAAGAAGAAGAAGAAGAAGAAGAAGAAGAAGAAGAAGAAGAAGAAGAAGAAGAAGAAGAAGAAGAAGAAAAAGAAGAAGAAGAAGAAGTAGCGGAAGAAGAAAAAGAAGAAGAAGAAGAAGAAGAAGAAGAAGAAGAAGAAGAAGAAGAAGAAGAAGAAGAAGAAGAAGAAGAAGAAGAAGAAAACTGGACAACGACAACAACACCAACAGTTCTCTGCTAATGAGTTACCAGGCTGTAAATTCATATCATCTAAAAGTACGACAATTCCAAAACTTTCTCCCCATTACTTGTCTTTCCATCGCCTTATCCTCAAAAACGGTGCAACGTTTGCTTTAGAAACCTGAAAAGTGTTTTCTGATGAGGAAAATTAGAGGGTAATATTTACTTGTGGGTTTAAAAGTCTGTATTTACTAAGTTATTATCGCACATTTGTTCTTGGGCGTCACTGCATTGACAAGGGAATAATCCACGAAAGCGCGGAAAAAACCGCTAGAGTTGAGACAGACGGCGCGAAGAATTTGTAATGAGACATTTTAGGAGTTTAGCAGTAAACAAATGTATCTTCTCGGTTGTATTGTGAAGTAATCTAAACCCGCTACCCGTATGTTTTTTTTTTTTTTTTGGGGGGGGGGGGGGGGGGGGGGGGGGGGATGGGGGACGTAGACAGCCTAATTTGAAGTTTGTGGGTGAGTTGTAGGGTGAATGTGTTTCTGCGGGAGGTTGATTGATTGTGTGTGAGTGAGGCTGTGATAGATTATAAGTATGCTGTTTAATATATATATATATATATATATATATATATATATATATATATATATATATATATATATATATATATATATATATATATATATATATGCCGGGCACTCTAGCGTAGTTGGCTAAACCGGATTGCGCGGTGACCGGGTGACGAACTTCTTGTGGTCCGGGTTCACTCCCGGGGGTAGGGAGAAAAGCCACATTTCTCCCAGATTTACGGTATTTACAATGGAATCAAGGCCGAAAGGTTGTGATATCCATAATACCGAGCTCAAGGGTTAACAACTCATGGCTTCTCGATACTAAAACAAACAATATATATATATGTGTGTGTGTGTGTGTGTGTGCATGTGTGTGTGCGAGTGCGAGTGCGCCTAGTTGAACGTCGGATAAGGCAACACTCACTCAGACTTCAGTGTGTGGGACAAGATAAGACAACAGCCAGATCTGTGTGTGAGCCAAACAAGTATACATTCATTAATCCTTGGGATTGGTCATTTCTACTTCGGATAGGCCAAACAATCATGCAGACATTACTACTTTGGATAGGCCAAACAATGATACAAACATTCATTCGTAGAATAAGTCACGACAATTAACATCCATATGTGTATGACCAACAGTCATACATATATTACTATTACAACACAGAATAAGCCGAACAGTTATACGTATATTACAACACAGAATAAGCCGAACAGTTATACGTATATTACAACACAGAGTAAGCCGAACAATTATACATATATTACAACACAGAATAAGCCAAACAATTATGTATGTATTACAACACAGAATAAGCCGAACAATTATACATATATTACAACACAGAATAAGCCGAACAGTTATGTATTATTACAACACAGAATAAGCCGAACAATTATATATATATTACAACACAGAATAAGCCGAACAGTTATGTATTATTACAAGACAGAATAAGCCGAACAATTATATATATATTACAACACAGAATAAGCCGAACAGTTATGTATGTATTACAACACAGAATAAGCCGAACAGTTATGTATGTATTACAACACAGAATAAGCCGAACAGTTATGTATGTATTACAACACAGAATAAGCCGAACAGTTATGTATGTATTACAACACAGAATAAGCAGAACAGTTATACATATATTACAACACAGAATAATACGAACAGTTATGTATGTATTACAACACAGAATAAGCCGAACAGTCATACATATAATACAACACAGATTTAGCCGAACAGTCATACATATAATACAACACAGATTTAGCCGAACAGTCATACATATATTATTACACAGGATAAGCCAAACAATCATACATATAATACAACACTGAATAAGCCAAACAATCATACACACATTACTAAGTGAGATAAAATAAGAGCGACGTTGATGTGTGTAAGCCAAATCAATATTTCATTTCGTGGTTGTGGCCTGGGGGTAAAAAGGGGGGGGGGGGGCAGACAAACAATCCAGAAGAAACGAAACAAAGATTTTAAAGCGATGATTTAAAAAAAAAATATTTACGAGAAAATGCTACAAGTAAAAAAAAAAAAAAAAGCTATCCATTAAATGTGAATATCGCGAACTTACACCTCTCGAAGTTATAGAATAACGTGGATGTGTTAAAACCAACGGTTTAATAACCTATCGAGCTTTGTACATGGAGTGAACAGAGACCTGGCTTAAAGACACGCCTGTAGATCTCATTAGAACATTTTAAGATTATACACTCCTCATCTGCGTTGAATGGGGAGGAGGGGGAGGAAGGGAGGAGCAGGATAAGGTCTTCTGTTCAGTTCTTGGGAGTTTCTTTCTAAATCTAATGTTTATTATGATTTCTTGGCCTCGCCTCTGGCTTCCCAGTTGGCTTAGGGTAAACAAAAATATGAAGATATTCCAAAACTGCGGGAGGGTAGACAAATTTGGGAGTTTGAACTGCGGCTTTATTGTAGGTCCGTGTATATTTAATCTGGGTTGGTGTTGAACATTGGATCTCCAGATCTGTTGAACATATGATAGGGATGAGGATGATAGTGGTATTACATCTATACGAGTATCTTTTATTGCTTAATTGTTGCACTGTCTTGTATCGTTAGAGAGCTCTCTCTCTCTTTGTCTCTCCCTACCCTCTCTTTCTCTGTAAGCCATGTAGAGGAGATAGTAGAGGAAGTTATGTATTATGCCTTGTGCAAATAGAATTAACATGGCCGCCAAAGATGCTATAGGGTTTCCAGTCAGAAATATATTAACAGTTGCTGGAAAGGCAAAAAAAAAATTGTTTCAACATTTGTGCCCTACAGAGAGGAGAAGGCCATTGCCACCGCAACGCTGCAGAATGCATTCCCGTGTTGTTATTTTGCTTGTTGGGTGATCTCTACGGTAAATGTAATGCCTTTTGCGAGTCGCTTCCTAGACATGAAGAATTAATTATGGCGAGGGAATACACGAGATGATGGGAAATGGAGTTTCTCTTGGAGAATGATATGCTGTTGCTGTAGCCGAATTGCCCCTTCGTTGTAATAAGTTGCTTTAATGGCTTTTTCCCTCCTAGGAGAAAACAGCTGTCATTATTTGACTTTAATTAGATTTTTAGGACGGGTGCTGGAGCCGTGTCAGTGTTGGTTTCTTGGCTAACGGGGTAATTTCGTTTTTGTATTTATTTATGACCTGACTCACCGTTGATGAAGGCGCCGGAACTTGGCCGCTCGGGCATCCTGAGTTCCCCCTTCTGTTCAAATGTGTGAGGAGGATGTCCCACCCCCCCCCTCCTCCCCGTCCCCATCCATGTAGTAAAAATGATCTTTTTTTAAGTGTGTATTTATAATTTTCATATAATTTTAAACTTACTATATTCACTTGCCATTCAGTATATTATAAAAACATTATGTGTGTATATGTATGTACGTATGTATTTTTATATGTTCCCCCTTTTACACACTTTCTAAAGGAAGGGGATCTGTAGGGCCTAAGATTTGTTAAAAATAATATATAACTACACACTTAAACAAGTCTTTGAACCCCCTGATTCCACCTACCCCTAGACAATTTTTAATTGGGTGACGCCACATCCACTCCTCCCCCCTCCCCTTCCACTCAATGTTAATTGTGTCAGCGCCCCTGACCATTGATGTGTTGCATTTTTCTTTTGCAGGAACAAAGATGAGCGTGTGATGGCGATTTAGTCATGTCGGCCATGATGGATTTGTCTCCGTTGAAAGTTGAGACCTCATCGACTCATTCGAGCCCACACCGGACTCCCCTGAGAGCCTCACCGCTGGCCTCGCCGTCTGGTAGTGATATGGATATTACACTGTCGTACTCGACTGTTGGGTTTGCCCTGAACCCCGACATTGGCGGGCGGGTTGGTTTCGCCAAAATCGGATTTGAGAGTGGTGTTTATAAACATAATTCCAGACTGCCCAGCTCGTCAGGATTCCTTGCCGAGAAGCCCATATCTTCTCCAGCGATAGCCGGTTTCACCACAAATGAAGATTCTCAAGACTGCCCAGGAAAACCGTTAGTGGCTTCAGGTAGTTTGAGCCCGACTTCAAAAGAGTTGCCCAGTCAGAGTGTCGGCCAGCAGCCGCAGCACAACCAGTGCTTGTCTGAAGACGATAGAAGCAAACAACAGGTTCTTCGTGATAGTGAGCAAAGCGTCATATCCTCGAAAGATCAGATCTGTCCGCTCAGGCAGCCTAAAGAGGAAACGTCAACGATGGATCTTGAAGAAGTTGAGCACGAAGACTCCTCCTCATTATCAGAAAAAGTCGGCGATGGTAATGAGGATGACGAGAAAGTCCTGAGTGGAAGTATTCACGAAGATGATGACGATGAAGGTGACGATACTTCTGACAAAGATGACGACCAGATCGAGTGTGCAGAATGCAACAAAGTGTTCTGCAATCTACAAACCTACATGGACCACACCTGCTACAGGTCGCAAGTGGCGTCCAGAACTCTAACCGCAAAAGTCAGCTCTTCCCCATTCATCAACGACTTCCAAAGCGAGGACTCGGGACCCGAAGTTGAACACTTCCAAGGAAAAATGATATTCTCCCACAACGGGTCAGCGTATGTTCTAGAAGGCCACGCCCATGACAACTACTCCGGCATAGAGTTCAGTTCGCTGCATGATTCCATCGTTGTCTCCGAAGGCGAGTCCGTGCTAACAGCCGGCTCCTATATACCTCACATCCACAGCATTACTTTGATCCCAAAGAGTGACTCGTCTTCTGTATTTAGAAACGCTTCCAATAACCTTCGGCAGATCCTTCCTGGCAAGACCAGGACGTGCATGCAAACATTTTACGTGTTTGATATAGGAACTCCAGAAGCCAATGGAGTTCTGCACAAATATCCCACGCATGCAGTGCACAGATCTTCTGCTGGTCCTGTTCTTATGTGCATCATCTGTAAGCTTGTGTTCAAGAAATCCAAACCGTTTCTTCACCATGTAATTTATTACCATTCGGTTGAACTGAGTGACAGTGAAAGTTCTCTGCTTTCCCAGAATACATTTTCTATAATTAGCCACGTCAGTGGGCTGGAGAGTCAGCCCAAACTGTCAGTCCTGCAGCCTGTGTCCGAACCAAACCTAAGACCACACGATCTCAGGGAAGCTGCCATGTTGTCCAGAGGAAAAAGAGCCGGATTTTTCCCTAGTGGAGGATTCCTTGACCCGGAAGCGGAATTACTTATCAGGGGTTACAACCCAAGCATGTTTGCTTTTCAGGGAACATCACAAATGAAGAACTCGTATTATGAACAACAATGTACTCTGTTTTCAAAAGAGGACTCTAGTCTTGGCTATTTAGAGCGGTCTTCCACTCCATCTGGTATTAAAAACATTAGCAAGGAGAACTGTGTCAGGCGTTCTTCCCCAATACCTTCTGTGATTTCCGATATTGATCAGACTGCCAGCAGCTACCAACTCCAGTCAGGCCAATCTACACAGGAGACATTCAGTGCTTTGAGGCTGAGATCATCACCTACAGCTGCAACATCCACACAGCGTTCTTCAACTTCTCCATCATCCTCGGTATCGGATACTTTTTTACACTCTTCCCCTTCTATGCCGAGTCTCCTGGTCTCCTCGATGCCTTCCTTGGTGATGTCTTCTACAAATTCATCAAATATCCATTCACAGTTGAACATGTCTGCAGCGACTTCTTCGTCGTTACAGAGTATTGGTCTTCAGTTGCCGCACTTTCTGTGTGCCTGTGACGAACATCCTCAAGGAAAGGCCCATGGGGTGGAGTGTCCAAAGTGTGATATGGTACTTAGCTCGTCGCAATCTCTAGGAGGCCACATGACCATGACACATTCACGAAACTCATGCAAAACTCTGAAATGCCCCAAGTGTAACTGGCACTACAAGTATCAAGAGACGCTAGAGATACACATGAAAGAGAAACACCTGGACACGGATGCCCAATGTGTTTACTGCCTGACGAATCAGGCTCACCCACGACTGGCCAGAGGCGAGTCTTACTCCTGTGGGTATAAACCATACAGATGCGAAGTCTGCAACTACTCAACCACCACTAAAGGCAACCTAAGCATCCACATGCAGTCTGATAAACACATCAACAACATGCAAGATCTGGCTAACGGTAGTGCTGAACTGAAAATTCAGTCCCAACAGCCGCCATCTACCGCAGCTCTACCATCTTCAGTATCAGCACCACTCCAAAACAGCGCATCATCCTACCAGCAGGAGGAATGCCAGCTGAAAAAGCTCAAGCAAAAACAGTCTTTTAGGTGTGATGTGTGCAGTTATGAGACTTCAGTGGCCAGAAATCTGCGAATTCACATGACTAGCGAGAAGCACACCCACAACATGCTGGTGATGACTCAGAGCATCAACCATCTTCACCAGGACATGACTCTCCACCAAATGAGCCAGATGAATCAACTCCTAGCCATTAACCAACAGGAGCAGGCAGCACGATACGCCGCCATCAGCTCCCATCTACCCAATCCGCTGTTTCCGTACGAACACTCCTCTGTGTTGATGCCGTCTGTTTCTAGTCAATCCCCGTCGGGATTTGAAATCCCCATGAACCTATCAAAAGAAAACGGAATCGACGAATGCGAAGGCCCAGTGTTGAGAAAGGACGCTACAAAGATGTTCCAATGCTGTATCTGTTACAAATACTGCTCTGACAGCATTGAGAACGTTCAGAACCACATCCAGTACGACAGAACTAAATCTGTGAACTCTGATACATACGTCACCTTTAGCAGTGGCACCTACCACTGCAACCTCTGCAGCTACAAGACACATCTTAAAGCCAACTTCCAGTTGCATTGTAAAACAGACAAACATCTACAGAAGCTTCAGTTGGTTAACCATATCATGGAAGGTGGGCCTGAGAATGAATGGCGTCTCTCCCATTCAGGCTCGTCCATGCAGATTTGCTGCAATGCCTGCAGCTTCTATGCCAACTCCATCTACAAGATGCAACTCCATCTGAGCACGATTCAACATGACTCATGTGCGCAGCTGTTCAGACATCTCCAGCTCCTCGATCGTGCGACTCCGGCGCCAAGTCCAGGAAAGGTACGCTGTTACCAGTGCTCGCTGTGTGCGTCTACAGTCCGCACCAAACAGAAGTTGATCTTGCACTCGAAATCTCCGCAGCACATCCGCAAGGAGCAGTCCCTGCCGCAGGGCCAAGTTTCTATCTTCGATGTCTATCTCCTGAAGGAAATGGCTGAGGGAGAGACCATGTGCTTTGAGGACGAGGGTGAGTGCTTGTGTTGTAGGGTCATGTTATTCCGACAGTCGTTGGAGTTTTCTACATTATTGTGTATGTGGAGCAGTCTTTTTGTAGCTATGTCCGTTCTTGACTGACTAACGGTCAACCCCAACAGGACATCACACTAAGGGATAAATACCCTGTGACCCAAAGTGTCACCATTCGGATGAGGATCAGCCAGGGCGGGTCCCAGAAACCCGGTTCAACCCAAAGGTTGAGTTAAAGTAGGGTACCCCAAAAACAGCCAGGATGGGGCTTTAAAAAAATTGCACCTGACATGGGGACGCAGTATCATAATGTATGTCCGTTCGTATACAGCTCATGAACTTGTCGCCAAGAGAACTGCTCAAAAAAGGTGTTCAAAAATATTTTTGGGAAGTATATAATCCCTGACGTGTACAGTACCCACTGTGGGGTTATGGGTCCCGTTTTTCGGGTTAAAGAATAATATACCCCCTAACAAGCATGCCTTAAAAGGCGACCAGTTAGAGATTTCCTGCCATTAGATTGGTTGGACCAAAACGCGCAAATATCGCAGCAAAGGTGTAACCGACAGATCAGTGTACTGACTGCCCTTTGAAGCACAATAGCAGAAAAAGAAGTGGAGGAGGAAGAAGAAAAAGACGAAGAAGATGACAGTCGATGCACCAGTGGTATAAAAAGACATAAAAGTCTTGTATGTTAAGAATACGTAGTTTGCGTGGGGTCAGATTTTATTTATCTGTTATCGCCCTTTGATAAATGCTCGCGCTGCTTGAAAATAGCAGTCTTCGTTGGTCATAAAAAGTTGCATTTTTATAAGTTGGTTTTTTGTGTGTCTCTATGTATGTGTATGAGTGTGTAGGTGTGTGTAAATGTGACGGTAATTCATGATTCTTCTTCTTTTCCCTCTTCTTCTTCCTCTTCTTCTTTTTCCTCATCTTCTTCTTCTTCTTCTTCTTCTTCTTCTTCTTCTTCTTCTTCTTCTTCTTCTTCTTCTTCTTCTTCTTCTTCTTCTTCTTCTTCTTCTTCTTCTTCTTCTTCTTCTTCTTCTTCTTCTTCTTCTTCTTCTTCTTCTTCTTCTTCTTCTTCTTTTTTTTTTCTTCTTCTTTTTCTTCTTCTTCTTCTTCTTCTTCTTCTTCTTCTTCTTCTTCTTCTTCTTCTTCTTCTTCTTCTTCTTCTTCTTCTTCTTCTTCTTCTTCTTCTTCTTCTTCTTCTTCTTCTTCTTCTTCTTCCTTCTTCTTCTTCTTCTTCTTCTTCTTCTTCTTCTTCTTCTTCTTCTTCTTCTTCTTCTTCTTCTTCTTCTTCTTCTTCTTCTTCTTCTTCTTTTCTTCTTCTTCTTCTTCTTCTTCTTCTTCTTCTTCTTCTTCTTCTTCTTCTTCTTCTTCTTCTTCTTCTTCTTCTTCTTCTTCTTCTTCTTCTTCTTCTTAACGTTCACTGACTGTAAACTCCGTTGAACAGTTATGGTTGTTCGTCCACTTCTGGACTTTGATCTTGTACCAGAACTTGAGTTTTGCGTGCACATCTGTTTTACATATGTCGCTTATTTCTATGTAAACTGTTTGTTCCTTGCCTCTCTGGCAGATGCCTTCCGGCTTGCAAGAAAGCATCCATAATTAGTTGATTTTTACTACACACTGTTTAGGGGGTCTTTTCTCGCCCCTCCCTTTCCCCATTGCGCCCCAGAACACAAACAGGAAGTCTCCGTGTGGTTTTAGATCTCTCTCTTTCTCAGTTGCTCTGTAGGTTCCAGCAACAGGACATTCTAGTTAAAGCATTATATTTTCCTAATGCGCGATCGCCAGGGGTTTTTGTGTATCCCCTAAACGAAAATGAATGAATCAAAGAATTGACATACTGTACTCGGGACATTCTCACGCGTGCTCCGTCTCCTTCCACGATAGCCAATGAAGAGTTGACATGCTAATATTACCAGCTGCAATCGGATTAAGTCCGCCTTTGTTTCCTCCAAAATATCGAAAATTTTCCAGAACTTCTTCTCATTTCTGCTGAATTAATATTTCGATGTGTTGATTCTCGTCTGTTTTATTTTACTGTTTATCTGATCGTGGGGAAAATCCAAACAGTATAAGCTGGATGCTGAGTCCACCCCCTCCCTGGTGCCTCAGTATAACTCTTTTACCATGTTGAACTCAATGTCTGCGATAAGTTGCTGACGGTCTCACTTCAATGAGGTGTGGATTTTGCATACTGAAATCCCAGAAGGCAGCTGTGGGTAAAGTATAAAAACATTTTTCCCCCTGAGCTTTTGTTCTTTCCTATTTCAACTGATAGTTGTGAACCATGGGCTCTCATTATTCAGTCATCGAAGAAACATAAATCAGAGCTTTTGAACTCAAATGCTTCAGAGAAATTCTGAGAACATCGAGCAGACTTGGCTCATTAACAGCGTCTTGTCCTGAAAGCTGAAGTGTTGTGACCCTGTTAAAAGTCACGGTGGCCTGCAGAAAACTGTGACAGAGGGTGTCACTTCTGGTGAACAAGCCAGACACTACTCTTCTCAAAGGTGTCATTTCTGGCAGACACTACTCTTCTCGAAGGTGTCATTTCTGGAAAACGAAGCAGACACTTCTCATCTCGAAGGGGTCATTTATGGAAAACGAAGCAGACACTACTCTTCTCGAAGGTGTCATTTCTGGAAAACGAGACAGACACTACTCTTCTCGAAGGTGTCATTTCTGGAAAACGAGGCAGATGCTACTCTTCTCGAAGGTGTCATTTCTGGAAAACGAGGCAGACACTACTCTTCTCAAAGGTGTCATTTCTGGAAAACAAGGCGGACACTACTCTTCTCGAAGGTGTCATTTCTGGAAAACGAGGCAGACACTGCTCTTCTCGGAGGTTTCATTTCTGGAAGACGAGGCAGGCACTACTCTTCACGAAGGTGTCATTTCTGAAAAACGAGACAGACACTACTCTTCTCGAAGGTGTCATTTCTGGTAAACGAGGCAGGCACTACTCTTCACGAAGGTTTCATTTCTGGAAAAGAAGGCAGACACTACTCTTCTCGAAAGTGTCATTTCTGGAAAACAAGGCAGAAACTACTCTTCTCGAAGGTATCATTTCTGGAAAACGAGACAGACACTGCTCTTCACAAAAGTGTCATTTCTAATAAACGAGGCAGACACTACTCTTCTCGAAGGTTTCATTTCTGGAAAAGAAGGCAGACACTACTCTTCTCGAAGGTGTCATTTCAGGAAAACGAGGCAGACACTACTCTTCTCGAAGTTGTCATTTCTGGAAAACGAGGCAGACACTACTCTTCTCGAAGGTTTCATTTCTGGAAAACAAGGCAGACACTACTCTTCTCGAAGGTTTCATTTCTGGAAAACAAGGCAGACACTACTCTTCTTGAAGGTTTCATTTCTGGAAAACAAGGCAGACACTACTCTTCTCGAAGGTTTCATTTCTGGAAAACAAGGCAGACACTACTCTTCTCGAAGGTGTCATTTCTGGAAAACAAGGCAGACACTACTCTTCTCGAAGGTTTCATTTCTGGAAAACAAGGCAGACACTACTCTTCTCGAAGGTGTCATTTCTGGAAAACAAGGCAGACACTACTCTTCTCGAAAGTGTCATTTCTGGAAAACAAGGCAGACACTACTCTTCTCGAAGGTGTCATTTCTGGAAAACAAGGCAGACACTACTCTTCTCGAAGGTATCATTTCTGGAAAACAAGGCAGACACTGCTCTTCTCGAAGGTGTCATTTCTGGAAAACAAGGCAGACACTACTCTTCTCGAAGAGTTAGCTATGAAAGCCCACAGGGCTGGAGAACTGGCCAGAAAAATTTAGAATTACAGGCGTGCCATGCAAAGAACTATCTTGTGTAAAGGACCTTGTGAGTGATGATGATGATAATTATGATGATGATAATGATGATGATGATGATAATGATAATAATGATGATAATGATGAGCTCATTATTACAACCATCATTCGGTTGTGCCATCTTTATACCTCACAAAGGGCTTGCACTCTAGTTCTCCATTTCCTATTATCCAGGGCAATCCTCTGGATACCAAGGATAAGGTCAGGTTCAGCCTTCTCGACCTCTCAAAACAATGTTTGTCTCAAGGTTTCTTTGTGGAGGTCTTGGCTTCCTCAATCCATTTATTTCCAATTTCCTCCGTTATGCGAGTTTTTTTAGCACACTTCTTTTTACAAGGTGAGTTAGCTGGTCTCCACAGCCACCCCTTCTCCTTTGCCATCCGGGCTTGGGACCGGCAGAGCTAAGCTGATTTTTTTGGGAGTTATTTTATTCCGTTTGAATCCCTGTGTTCTGTACATGCAAAAGTAAAAAAATATTTGTAGTTTTTGTACTTAATAAGAGGTTATGCGTCTCCCTACCCACACAGAACAATATCTACTTGTCAACCCGCACCGTTTGCTATTAGTCCTGTCTTACTAGCTATTGTCTTTCTCTCCTTCCTTATTCTTACTCTTCCTCTCCTTCTCCTGCCATCATTTGCTGCAAGTGTCGGCGTCAGGGCACGATCCCGCTACCTTGAAGGTCCTGTAAAACAATGGAGACCATGGCTGCATGGCGTTTATATGAGAGTTAATCAACGGTGACCCCAGTTTTGCCCGTGTGATTTGAAGGAGCTCTATTTGGGGAAAGAGAATAGACCCACCGCTCACTATCAAGCCGTTTGTAAGCGGTGACTATGGATTTGCTGAAATCGGATGTCGTGAGCTGGTAGGAGCAAACATTTCAGCCTAGTTGTAAACAACAACATAGCTTGTCCACCACCACTTTAATAAAGGGCAGAAAAAGAGGAGAAGGAGGAGAAGAAGAAGGAAAAAGAAGAATGCCAGACCAAAGATATCACCAAGTCTGTATTAATCTACTCTGACAATCAGCCACAATATTATAGTTCGTTCAACAATTGATAAACACACATGCGAGCTATTTTCTCGAAAACTGTCTGTTAGATCGAAGTGCTTTTTGTCTTTCACTTTCTTTTTTTTTAAATTCAGTCTAAGAATATCTATGACT